TTCGCGGACAAGTTCATGGAGGACCAGAGGTTGCTCAGTCTTAAGTAAGTACCGGGGCAACCACGCCTGGCGCGTTCCTCGTTCTTTCCTCCGTTAATTCTACGGCTGCGTGGTCGGTTGGGTGTAGTACGACCCCGTCGGTTGGGTGATCCACCCGTGCTGTCTCTCTCGTTATGAGTCCATGATTTATTCGTCCGTTTCGGCTGTCGTTTTGTGTGTAGTGCACTCTTGACAACCAGAGAATGACACCTGTCTTTCGTCGACGGCACAAACTCTGTTTCGTCTGCTTTCTTCCCTTCCTTCTTCTGTTCATGGCGTTGGCCCCACTCGTCGGCAGCAAGCACGTCAAGAGCATGGGCTTGGGCACCTACCTTGTTCAGGAGCACGGCAAGAGCCAGTACGGCAACAGGGTGACAATCGTGCTGCCGGACACGGAAGGGAAGGGTGGCCGCGTCGAGTGCACCTGCAGAGTCCCTACCAGGTTCCACCTCCTGTGCCAGGACGCCCTCGCGGTGTTGAAATGTAAGCCTCCTCCATCGGGTTGAAAACATGGATCGCATTTAATTATTGGGTTATTCAATCTTCGGCTTGGTGTCCTCTGTTGGCCGTCTGTGATCCGTGTGCATTCTGTATGTTTTATTCTCGCAGCTCACTTGCAATGTGCGACCTCATACAATCTACATTGCAGATCCTCGTATCTCCTCTCTGGGTTTTCCTCTGGTCATCTGTCCCTCGAAGTTGTTCTTTCTTGGCCCTTCTTTCTTTTGCCTATGGCACAAGCTCACCGTTGGCTGTGAACGAGGTTCTCGTAGAATGAAGTGGGATTCCGTTTGCCTGTGCATGCCATTTGTGTCACCAAGCTATTCAGCATCCACCCCCTCTCGATGGATTTCCATGAAGGTAGGCAGAGGTTGATGAGCGTGTTACCACTGCTTGGGAGGAGTGTGAGCTCTTGGAGAAACATCCCCTCGTTGGTATTGTTCTATGATGCTTTGCTAGAAGGACGGGATTCATGCCTTGCCGAAAACACGTCGATACGTCGGATGTTAACTAAGGTGAGCTCCAGGATAAGACCACAAACGAAGATGGATGAAAACAGCCCTGGTTTTCACACAACTTAGCGAACACGTGGTGATCGGGCTCCTCGGTCGGTTGGTGTATTTGCCCATGTCCGTAGCACCGGTCACACATCCGTGTCCGGCAGCACGAGTACCCTTCTAACGGCCATGTTATGTGAAGGGAACCCACAAGTACCCTTCTAACGGCCGTGTTCTGTGAAAGGAACCCACGTGGAGGCGTCGTAGGAAAGGCAAGGCTATTTTGGGCATGCATGACACGGTGACCTGGTAGCTTATGACGAGAAACCCAAGCTACCATTGTTCCTGCTTTGAATGCAGTCCGTTTTGACTCCGTCCGCGTTTTGCTTCTTCTATCATGGCCCTTCTATCATTGTCTTTGTGTCCACTACTCCTCGCAAGTATTCTCACTGCTTCTCTTTTGAGCTAGCTCTCTATTCCTTGGAAGGGCAGAGTTCTCTTCCAGGTCGTCTCTTCCTTCTTGGTTCATTGCGTGCTTTCGTGCTACTTTCCTCCGCAGTGGGATCGTTTCGGTCTTCCGTTCGCACCGGGGAGGACTTGGCGCGGGCAATAGCGGGATGAGGGAGGGTGACAAACCAAAGAACACAAAAAATCCGACGCTCGAGTACATTTAATTGACCGTTCTTTGACGACTCTTGGCCCAATCCGCCTCTTCCCGATGCCGTGACAGCAATCGACAGGCTTGACTGCACGAGGGCGCTTATTGACAGCGGGTACACCCTGGCTTCCTACAGGGTGCTCCACACCCACCCCGACTATCCCGTCGTACTTCCGATCTGGTCAGAGCTTTCCAAGGGCGACCTCCTGCCCCCGCGGCAGGTGACCCGGCAAGCTGGTGCTCCGAAGAAGAACCGTGGCCCCCGGCAGCGTTCCCGATTCCCTGGTCGCAACGACAACTGCCAGCGCGGACGCGGCAACGTAGCCCAAGATGGAGGTGGTCGTGGCGGCGGGCCTGCCGCCGGGGGAGGGGGTGGTCGTGGCGGGGGCGGCAACTCTCGGCCCGTCCCGGTACATGGGATGGGCAGTGTTCGCAGCCACGTGGGAGACCTCAACGTCGGAGGTTCCGCGGGCGAGCGACCTACCGGGAGGTTGTGGGGGGGGCTCGCGGTTCAGCGCTACGGCTCGCAAGACGCTTCCGGCAACGACCACGCAGCGGGGGCGGGGGCCGGGTCATGCGCTATGCTGAGTCAATCCCAAGGCTCCATCGACCTGTCGTAGCTCAAGTGGTTCGACTCGTAGCTCAAGTGGTTTGACTCGTCTTAGGGTTAGGTAACTTGGGCCTTTGAATTTCTTCGTCGCACGTTGTCGGAGTCAAATACGACGCTGTGGTCCGTGAATGGCAGGGAGCAAGTGGTCGAATGTGTGTGCAGCTTTGCGTAAAACTCCCGCGACGGCGGGGCGCGTGTTGTAGCGCCTAATTTCGCGTGCCAGTTTCCAAATACTATGCACAACAGACAGAGATGAACAGCGGAATTCGACAACCACGCACGCACATGACTTCGACTTGGGTTGATTAATGGGTAGAACCGTCGAGCCCCAAGAGGAAGTTATCGTCAGCCTTAACGTCAGCCATGCGCACCCACGTGCAAACTGCTTCTCACGATAATCGCGACAAAGAGCGTTTGCGGAAGTGGCCCTTCACCCCAACAGACAAATTCGCAACCGAATAACTAATCCACACCGTGAACGCCCGTTACCCAAACGTGTTCTTGTCAACGGGGGAGAAGGGGACAGTGCGTCGTGTAGAAACACAGAACGCAAGTGTTGGACGCGCCCCCAGACATAGTTGCCGGTCCACGTCTCCACCGATTAGTGGTGATGTACGCAGCGAAAATAAATTGGGCCATAACCTTAACGTTTTGAACGCCATGCGTTTACTGTGTTCTACTGCTGCACGATGGCAACACTACGTGCGAAGAGTCTACTACAGTACCACACCGCCACAGAAAGGTGTGTTTGGTGTTACCTCGGCAAGCAAACATGCATCTGCAGCATTTAACTCTGTTTGGGTCGTTGTGCACATTTCGATGGCTTTTGATGCGTGCGTGCACACAGAATGTTGCACCACCTTCTGGCCTCGTGTCGCAGCTTCTACATGATTCACTGGGGGGGAGGGTTACGGCTGTCTGCTGCGCATACAGCGGTGGGCACGTGTACATAGTCTATAGTCTATGTCATGTACGTCCACCTGTCGGAAGTACCTTAGAACAGTAGGTTGGGTTCAACCGATGCAACACATGATAACATAGATATGATACAGGATTGTTATGGTGGTGGAGTTGAGTGAGGCTTGAGCCCCGAGTGCGTGGGTTTTGCGAACACAAAAACCATAACACCTACTGCATCATCAAAACAATGGCCCGCAAAACAATTGCTTGCGTAGAACATGGTCTCACAAGGTCATCAACAGTCCATAGACTATAGTGATCTGATGTTGACTACTGTGTGTGCTTATTGGAGGAGAGAATGCGCACACAACACTACACGAGTAACGTTGGGCGCCGCCACTCCCTCCTGCCTGTGCCGTGTGTGCGTGTGTGTGTTGTCTGTTGTGTCTCAATTGCGATGTGGTTGTTGCTTGACTACTGCTGTAGCAGCAGCGGTCGCTCTTACTAGCCAACCAAGCCGCCCGATCAATCAATCAATGTAGTTGGAAGACGTCAGGCTTCTTCAGCGGATGAGCCGATGAATTATAACACCGCGAGCACGGGCAAGCGACAGGGAGGGTGATTGAGTTGGACGCCGCTCCTGCGCTGCCGCTCGCTCCTCCTTCCATGGTTGATGTCAAGGGCGTGTCTGTGTGTGCTGGTGCTGCCTCTCCCCTCCGCCCGCTCAGCGCAGCGCGACACATTGGCAAATATGTGCATATATATGCTTGTCAACCATGCAGGATCGGTCTCGCTTTCATAGCGTGACCCGTGCATCTCGCATATACAATGCAGCAAGCAGTCGTCCACGGGGTATCGTACGTGTGTGCACGTTTCCAAACGGAACAGAGTTGTGCTGGGGTACGGGAATTATGTACACGGCCCTAGGTTGGCTAGAGGGCGCTGCATTGCCTCAGTAACCTGGCTTCGCCATCAAAGGAGGAGGGAGCAGGTGGCGACGAGCTGAACTGGGCTGGTTGACC